CTAATATGCACTCAATATCAAACTTTGAACGGTCAAGGTTGCTACTTCCTTGTAGCTTCTCAATCCCAGGAAGTCCAGATCCTGACCTAGTATCCATTTCTCTAACTAGAGTATTATTTATAGGAATTTGGTTAATCTCACCATTAATTTCTCTATGATTCATATCACATAATCACGTTCGTACACTCTTTGCAATAAATCTGTTCACTCAATATTTAGTAGCTGCTGGTTGCCATAACCCGATAGAGCTCCTCCGGCTCTATCAATAAATGAGAAAACTGATTTTAATATTTAAATAAAGATCTTTATTAAAATATATCCAAAACAAGAAAACGAGAATAAAACACAACTTGACATGAAGAGAGTTCTATGAAGTACCAAAAATAAATTTTGAAAAAGAATAACTCTCAATGTCACACCGGCCAGTACGTAAAAGATTGCATATCCGTGCTCTGACGCTTTGTGTATGAAATTTAATAATAACGCACACAATCAGCACTAGGGTACCCCTCTGTCGCGGGTGCCATGGACACACACATAGACTACCACTTAATATTACACCCAAACTCCCGGCCCGGAAATATATGATACAACCTTAGCCCATTGTGGTAATACGTACGTTCTACGCACATATTGCCTCAATGCTTTAGCGTCACAGAACACTATAATACTATAGTATACTTAAAGTATTTTTATTAATCATAATCATGTGAGTATAGTGTTCTGTGATCATAGCTATCTTTGTGAACGCGTAACTTTATGGTAGATTTCTTCAGTATAGTGTTCTGTGAGCATAATTCACTGGTTTTCTATGAGCTATGTTCATAATGATCTTGAAATGAACCTCCTTAATATGTGTAGTTTTATGGGAGTCGGTTTTTCGTCTGAAGTAGAAGTACATTTTGGATTGGGATTACCCGCTGGGATTTGGAAAGACGTGTTTATTTTTTTATTTTGACCAATGTTGCCAGGTGGTGGTACATTTCTTACATTTTTCGTAACTTTTGGCTCTTGCGGAATATGAAATAAACCTTACCTTTGCTGTTATGGCAATTTTCGTAAATGAGAACGTAGAGATTTTTATTTAATTATACTACATTTGTTATTGTATTAATTGTAAATAATTTATACTCAGATTGGATAATAAAGTAACTCAGATTTGGCGCAAACAAAATTAGATCTATGTATTACTTAATTTTTCTTGAAGTACCTACGATTTTTTTTAAGATTTAAACAAAGTATATAAATATATACCGTTTATATTTAGACTTTTTGATTAAAAAAGTAATTAACGAAAGGTAAATTTTGACTCAAGGGCCGTGGCAACACTGTCTTTCTTTTTTGACGCATCACAGATTAAAACACAAAATA